TTTTTTTTTTTTTTTTTGTATACCCCACACCCACGCCCACATACCTATGGATATAAACTTCCTAAAGTCTAGGGACTTGGTTTTCGCTGCCATACCTCCCCAAGCGCCTAGAACAGTGCCCAGAATATATAGTAGGGACTACAAAAATTTTCATGTTGATTTAATGAGTTGCTTTGACCATTAAACAACCCAGGGCTAGGTATGGGATATATAGGAATGAAAAGATAGGATCCCTGCTTTCAACTTCCTTGCACTCTTCTCCTTAGGTGAGCCTACAGTAATTCCTGACATCCCTCGAGTCCACTTGAGTTGGTTCATACTCGCTTGCAAAAGCTGATTGTTAACTGTGCCGTAATTTTGTGAGCTGGTTTTTAAATACAGCCACTTTAAATTATATTAAAAGCAAAAGTGATGAATACACAAACTTTATCACTTCCTACTTATTTTTACTACATTCTATTGTTTAAAGTGCTCTTCTGAGATTATTTACCTCTATTATATCCGTGTGGTGGAATCACAACATAATGGTGTACCACCGCACATCTCTTTCCAACTCCTTGTTGAGGGGCATCATAATGGGAGTTTGGAATTGGCCATGGTAGAGTGGAAATCACCATGGAAATCAACAACTTCTACACATCAGGCCCTGACCTCCCTGCTGCTGTCCAGGAATTAATTGTTTAGTATGTACCAACTCACCACTGTTCCTACTACATGTTCCCAGGGCATCCTACCATTTGTCAGCCTGGTACTTGTCAAGCTGCATTTCCATTGTTAATTTTATGTTTTCCTCAACTAGATTGTGAACTCCGGTTTGACGAAAGCTATATGGGATATCTGTGTTCAAAGCACAGAACTAAACACAAAATAGATGGGCCACAAATTCAAATTTATCTGAATGATAGGCGGTTTAAAAACTTTGTAAAATTACACAGAAATATAAGCCACAAAAATAATGAGAATTTAGCTCATTTTTTAAAGTAAACATCAGCCTTCAAACTTTTGAAGAGTTCAGTTCTTATTCCCAAAATACAACTATTTTTGCAACTTCTTTGGAAAAGCCTTCAGAGCTATCTTGTCAATCACATATAAGTGCAAGACCCATCTCATTATTGAGTGGACACTCTAGGTTTTTGAGCCAGCAGTTTCTCTCACCTTACTTACCAGTCTTAATTTGGAAAAATGTTTGTTTCCAGAAACTAAATCCATCATCAAGGTATGCCTTCATAGAAATTATTCAAAAACTGCAGGCTGTGGAAGCAATTTCAAGAGAGGTATTCCAATATTATCTTCATCCATTCACACACCCAATGAGTATTGAACATCTAACATTTTTTAAATTTTTTCTTTCTTTCTTTCTTTTTTTTTTTTCTTTAGAGAGAAAGCGCCTGTGCAAGTGGGGGAGAGAGGGAGAGAGAGAGAATCCCAAGCAGGCTCCATACTCGGTGCAGAGCCAAACGTGGGCCCCGATCCCACAACCCTGAGATCATGACCTGAGCTGAAATCAAGAGTTGGATGCTCAACTGACTGAGCCACCCAGGTGCCCAGGCATCTAATATTTTTAATAGCACAACATCAGAATAATTTAGTTGTCTTTACAAGATGTAACATAGTTAAAAATAGATCCAACATTCATAATCTGAATTTTGCTTGTGTCACTAGTTGTTTGACTTTGGGCACATTACTCGTACTTCCTGAGCTTTACTTTCCCCATTTGTAAAATAGGAACATGGAGGAGACCATTGTCTTGATTAAATGAGATGTAATCTCTCAATGCCATCTTTGCCTTGATGGACTGGTTGTACAAATGGACAAGGACTAGACCTTGTCTGATGTCCTAAGAACCCCAACCCATAATCTCTGCAGTAAGTAGCCCAGGAAGCCAAACCAAAACCCCTGCAGCAATCTCGCCAGAACAGTTAGGACTCAGTCAATGACTTCCAGCTTCCCAATTTTTTCACTTGCTTCCAACGCAGGACTAACCAGAGAAAGCCAAGTATGCTCCCTAAACCAATGACATAAGATGCCCTTTTCTAATTAGCCTACCTCCATCTTCCCCTTGCTAACAACTCCCAATCAGAGCATACCTGAACCCTTCCCATTTTTTTCACCATAAAGCTTTTCCACCCTTCTGCCTGCCATTGAGTCTCCAAATGTGAGTGATGGTGACTAATTCCCTTGCTATAGGAAGCTCTGAATGAATAGTCTCTGTTTATTATTTGGGTGGTCTTTGTTCCTTGCCACAGTTTTTCTGGAGACTCCACTGAGACACGGTCTGCACTGTCCATCACTGTGGCCCCCAGCCTTTGACCAGATGTGGTACACGCAGACGACCCTTGTGCCTTGCTGCTTGTGGCCTGTCAAGTCTGTGCCATCGTCGTAAGTCAGTGCTGGGTCTGAACTCTGCTATCTTTGCATGGAGTTCCTCAGCTATTTATTGTACTTATTCTATCCTTGGTGGAATCAGGCCATTCCTTTTCATTCTTTTTTGGCTGTCTTTTATATTTTTATTTTGTATTGTGCTACCTGAAAATGCTGTTTGTCATAAAAAGGAGAATCATAGGGTAGAACACAGCGATAGGCCCTAGAAGCCTGTTGTTCAAACCAGCCTCAGAGACCAGTGAGTTTGAAGTTCTCACCAGATGGCCATCCATTTGAACAAACATCACTGTGGGTCACCAATAAAACTGAGTGAGGCACTCCTTCCATCTTGATTTTTGGTCTTGAGAATTTGCCTTTAATTTAGAGAGGGGGCTCACTCTAATTTTCTACCTGCTGGGGGGGGGGGCACAGATAGTCAGGTCTGTGTTTGGAGCGGCCAACCCTCAGGTGGGAGGCCTGAGACACAAAGAGCATAAGCATCACTTTCAACCAACCATTGCCAGCTCTCCTGGGTTTGTCTAAGCCTAAATCCACTTCCCCGCCAGGAAAAACTGCTGCTTCTTATATGTGGTGTCATTACAATCCTACTTCTGGTGGCTGTCTCTCTTAGTGGCATAACTTCAGCAATGAGGATCTGGGCCTTCCGTGGCCACACTGCGGGACATTTGACTTGGATAAATTTGGTGTTGACAGGCAACCTAGGAAAGAAGGGGAATTAAGATTTCTCAGGTCAATGGACTGCAGTTTTTAACTCGTATGCAGAAGCCTCCCAAAGAAATTCTGGTTCAAAATTTATTTCACTTAAACATTCTTTGACCAAAGCTTGTGAGCAATTTGACAAACTTAGGCAACAAGAAACTAGACTCATTTCCTAGTAAATCCTTCCTGTCCTTGTCTTCCAGTGGCCTCCCTATATCCAATACCCCTCTACTTCTTTACCCTTCTCATCTCTGTCTTTCCTCGCTTCTGTCAACTATGCCATTCTCTTCCTCTTGAGCAGACCCCCCCCCCATGTTTGCCCAACAGCCTCCTAATGCCACAAAATATCACATGCCTCTGAAGATCCATGTCTTATGAGCCAGATAAGCAGGCAAGTGTAGAATTTAAACTTTGGATGATGAATTAAGATGAATTAAGAGCTATAGTTAAAGACCTCCTTACAAGACCCCCAACAAAACCAGCAACTATTCCTAGAAGAATTTACAATGCTTTTGGGTACATATGATTCAGGGCTACCTAACCTACATCAGCTTGTATACATGTTGGTCAGAACCTCAGATGCTAAATCTTGGATAACAAAAACTAATTGGATTGACGCAGAAAGGGGTCTACAGGCTCTCTTTTATCCACAATAAATCTAGGGTTTAAAAAAATCCTGAAAAGTAGGGCAAAGCCTCTTACAAGCCATACCCCTAAACATTTCCAATAAAAATTAATCAGACTATAATTTAATCATGAAACCAAGAAAAAAGGTAAAAGTATAAGATATTTTTTTTTGTGCTAGACTAGAAAATACCTCTGACAACATTCGGGAGTTAATAAAGGTGTCAGTGTAAAAGCAGCCCTTTTATCTCATTCTGTCAATGGAGTTAAGCCTGAAACTGAAGCCTAATTCAAAAATAGAAATTAGAATAGGAAATAGCACCTTTGCCTAAACACCTGTTGGTATATTTTAAAAAGGGTTTAGAATCAAAATGAGACAGAGTCTAAAATAAACTATGATCTTGCCGAACCAACAGCTAGGTGATACACCTTCCAAGCAACCATTTTTGACAAGGACGCTGTAGACAGTATAAATAGAAGGGACACTGGCAAAACAGAATGTCCTATCTCATAAAAGAAAACCAGGGACAAAGGAAAACCCTCAATCCTGATCAAAAAGGGTACTCTAAAGAAGGAAAAAGCTCCCAATATCCTGACTTACCCTTAAATGCTCAAGTTGAATAAATACAGTTGGTAAACCTACTCAATTCCTGGTAGATAGGTGCTGCCCTTACTACATTAAACTCCTCACTTGCTCAAAGTCTTTCTCAGACTAAACATGTGCACAATTCTTTCAGACAGAAA